AAAAAAAAAAAAAAAAATTTTTTTTTTCTTTCACTGTCGCGTTCTATAAAATCGTCAACCCTTCCCAAACTTTGCTTTCTGCCGGGCAAGTCGTCGTGGAATTTCTCTTCCTTGCTCTATGGGATGGCAGCAGGCTGGGGCAAAGCCACGTCGTCGCCAGGCCGGGAGGAGGCGGGAGCTGGGGCGGAGGCGGCCCGGGTGGCTGGCATCATGTGTAGGTGTAGTCTATGTCGGGGATGCCACCGTCCCGGTAGCCCCGCGTGGTGCCGTAGCCGATGGTGTGCGTGCCCTTGCAGAGGCTGCTGCCGTTGGAGGGGAAGATGGTGTGGACCACGTACTCCTCTTTGGCGCGGTAAGGGTTGATGGGCAACATCTGCAGTCCGGGGCCTCGGATTTCCAGAATCGAGTTGTCCTTCTTGGTCCCTGACTCCATATAGTCATCCTTTTTCCGGCTGCCCCGATTGTAGGCCCGATCTCGGGTCAGCAGCTCTCCGGCCCGGTGCACATACCAGCAGATGGCCCCCAGGACCAGGAAGAGGAAGACGAGGGCCACGGCCCCACCGATGATGCCCGCCAGGGGCAGGCCTGCCATGGGGTCTGCGTTCTGCTCCTGGTTAAGCGTGGTGGTGGGGCCGTGGCTGTCGGCCGTCTCTGCCTTGGCGCACACGGGCGTCTCGTCAGCCACGTAGGTGTTGCCGGTCTCCATGGTGACCATGCAGATGATATAGGTAGACTTGGGCTCCAAAGCCGTGAGCAGGTACTCTGTCTTGTCCCCCTGCACCAGCGTCTCCGTGATGGAGCCCACGGCCGGGCTGTGGCCCAGGCGCAGCCAGCTGAGCCGGAAAGAGGAGGCGGGGAGCGTGGCCTTCCACGTGATTCGGATGGAGTCCGCCGTCAGGGGCTTCACGTGGATGACCAGGGTCTTGGCGCCATCGCCCGTGGCCATGGGGTAGTCGAGGCTGGAGTCGGGGAGGCGCAGCCCTGGCCTCTTGGCCTTGAGGGTGAAGAGCGAGCCCTGGGGTGTGGTGGCAGAGGCGTGGTCGCCGGCCGTGGTCTTGGCCGCGGCGTTGGCCGCGCCGCCCTGCGCCCCCGTCTCGAAGCACTCGTCCATCTCGCTGGTGATGTCCTTGATGGCCATGCCCCGGACCTTCTCGGGGCCCTGGCACATGAGGCCGCGCACGTTGACCACGGCCGCCCGCGCCTTCACCCAGTCCCGCAGCCACATGAGGTTGCAGCCGCAGAACCAGGGGTTGTTCCGGAGTAGCAGCTGGGCCAGGCTCTCCAGGTCGTCGAACAGGCCCCGGGGCAGCGTGGTGAGGTTGTTGTTGGACAGGTCCAGGCGCTCCAGTTCACGCATCTTGGCCAGCGTGTTGTAGGGGATGTGGCTGATGGCGTTGTCCTGCAGGTAGAGCTTCTGCAGGTGGGCGCTGGGCAGGTTGAGCGGGGGCGCGGCCAGGGAGTTGCGCACCAGCGAGAGCTCGGTGAGGTTCTGCAGGCGGCTGAAGGTGTCGTCGGCGATGCGCTGGTTGGCCAGCAGGTTGCCATCGAGCACCAGGCGCCGCAGGCTGTTGAGGCCCTTGAAGGCGTGCAGCGGGATGGTGGAGATGCGGTTGTCGTCCAGCCGCAGCTCCTCCAGCGTGCGGGGCAGCCCCGAGGGGATGCTGCTCAGGTGGTTCCGGCTCAGGAACAGCAGCTTGAGCTGCTTACTGTCGGCAAAGGCGTCCTCTTCGATGCTGACGGTGGACACGGAGTTGTCGTCCAGGTGTAGCTTCTCCAGCAGCGGGATGCGGGCCAGCGAGTCCCTGGCGATGGCGCGCACGTTGTTGTCCTGCAGGTGGAGCTCCCGCAGGGAGCGGGGCAGGTTGACGGGGAACTCGTCCAGGTCGTTCTCGTACAGGTAGATGACCTGCACGTTGACCTTGGTCTTGAGGTCCTGGGGGATGCCGGCGTTGTTGATCTGGTTGTTCTGCAGGTAGAGGGTGGTGGCGTCGTCGGGGATGTCGGCGGGGATGGAGGTGAGTCCCCGGTCGTTGCAGTAGATGAAGCCGTTGTCGCAGCGGCACACCGAGGGGCAGGTGGTGCTGTCGATGACCTCCGTCAGGAAGGCGATGAGCCCGTAGCAGAGGAAGAGCCAGTCCCGCAGGTCCATGGTGGCCGTGGTCATCACGACGGTGGCTGTGACGGTGGCAGCAGGGGTGGCGG